GCAGGAATTGCCCAGGGGAGAATGTGATTTATAAAACAGGGAAGAGTCTTCTCCTCACCTCGATTAATATAGTAAGAATATTTTTGTAGCTTTTTAAATACAGAAAATTTTTGCAGAAGAGGAAAGATCTCTGCCCAGCTGGAGTCCAAGTTGCAAATGTCTTCATCCAGGTCTGAACGCAACTCCCAGCCAAGTCCTCGGAGGAGGCTTACCTCTAGGACCGGCTCCCTCCCCTTTGCCCCCTGGGGCCAGGGGCTTTGACCCTACGTCTGAGCATCGTCCCGGTCCGACTGCGATGTGTGCGTGGCCGGGCAGAGCTCTGCCAGGGCCAGGAGAAAGCAGCAGGGAAGGGAGCGCTGGAGCTGCCCGGGAGGGATGCAAAGCCCTAATGCAAGAGCTCAGCCAGCCCTTGCATGGGAAACAAAGGTAGCATTAGCAAACGTACGCTGGGAAACAAGGACAAAAGCTGGTTGTAAATCCCTTATCTAATAGCCCCCGGACTGGAGGAGAGTGGCTCGCCGAGGACGGTGGCGGCAATGCTAATGCGTTTTGATGGGTACTCCCATTCCCCCGGGACGGCCAGCCCGCGCGGGGACCGTGCGCTCGGAAAAACATCTCCTGATGCGGGAGGTGGAGCGGAGAAATGGAAAGCTCCTGCCTGCGGGGATGGGTTACGTGATTGCTGGAGCCAGTATCTGTCCTGAGGCCGGGGACCTCGAGCTGCCACCTCGCACTCTGCAAAAGTGGGGCCACTTGCGAGGCTTCTCCATCCCTGTGGGTCCAGGTGGGGAAAAAGTGTTTTAGGATTTCTTCCCTTTCTCCCTCCTTATTCTCCCATGAAGATGGGCTCCCATTTGAGTTGCACTTTTACGGTGTCCCCGCCACACGGTGCTGCCGGCTGGGCACCGAGCAATGCCGTGTTTGCAGGTCGGGCGCTGCTGCGGCTGAATGGGGAGAAGCTGCAGCGCATGGGCATCGCTCACGAGGCGCAGCGGCAGGAGGTCCTGCAGCAGGTCCTGCAGCTCCAGGTGCGCGAGGAGGTCCGAAACCTGCAGCTGCTCAGCCAAGGTAGGGCCAGCGAGAGGCCGAGCGGGGAGAGAGGCTCCGAAACCCAACCCCGGGGAGGGTGTGGCCCTCCGGCAGGCGATGGGCCAGCCGGGGGGTGGGTGGCTGCCAGAGCCCGAGGCACCCCCCTGCACATTGCTGGTGCAAATGCAGCCTGTGCCGTGGCTGGGATGGGGTGTGGAGCACGGGCTGGGGGCACAGAGAGGGGTTGTGGTGCACAGGTTGCGATGCACTGGGATGAGTGGTGATGCACAGGTTTTGGTGCACAAGGACAGGTCGTGGTGCACAGGCTGTGGGGCACGGGGATGGGCTGTGGTGCACAGGTTTTGGTGCACAAGGACAGGTCGTGGTGCACAGGGCCGGGCTGCGGTGCACAGCCCAAAATCCATTAGTGGCATTTTGCATGGAATTCTCCAGGGCTGGCAGTGGGTGGGCTGAAACGTGCTACCCTTGCAGGCTGTTTATTCCTTCCTCTCCCGCCTTGTTCCAGCTTCTTTTGGAAATGTCTCCTAGCTGATCCGTCTGTTTGGCAGATTGCACCAACACTGTGAACTGAGCACCTCCGGGATGGGCTGTACATCGCTGATACGAGACCTGAACCACACGCTTGGAATACGAAGAGACGCCCCCCCAGCCACTCCAGGGCTTCTCTCCTTCTTCTTTCTCTTTCTTTTTTATGAATACTTTTCTGGGCAGAGACGGGAGGTTTCCTCCGGCAGACAGGGCTCTTGGCTGGAGGGCAATTAGCAAAACAGCAACTGGGACAGATGAATTTTTCCACCACTAGGCCT